ACATTAAAATATAAAGCGCGTGTAAATAAAACGAGTCGCGCCTGAACCGCGCCAGAAACCAGCCAGTGTCGTGTCCATATAAATATAAAGAAATAAGCTCGTTGTTGGCGCGACTTGCCATGTTTATGCAACATTTCGATATTCTCGTCAGTGTCAGATGTACTAGACAATCCATTTTTTGTGGATCCTCTGACGAGTGGTATTTGGTAGAGTCGAGAGTGTCGAAAGGAGGAGGAGTGAGAGATTGCTGAATGTTTCGTTCCGGCATAGGCAAAGCAGGCTCGTGTATTTGATCTTGTCAGATCCGTATATTTTATTGATGTTGATGGCGACATAAATACCACATGATCAGTAACATTATGAACAACAACGTCATACACGTATAAGTACATTATAAAACATATAATCATTCAGCTATTATTATATCATTTTACTTTTAATATTTTTATTAAATGGAAGTAGGTAATAACCCGCTGATTTTATTTATATTTATTTGTCAAGCGATTTAAATGAAATTTTGGAGAGACATTTTACACGAAATTCTATATTCTCTTTTATTTTCATATTTTTTTTTTATCTAAGCTGATTTTCCGAGATATTTTTTTAATTATACCATTTTTTAAAAAACTGGATTTTAAAACAAATAGATACTGAAATTACCTTAACTATCTTTAAATTCCAAATTTCTACTCTTTTTCTATTAAGAGGAATTTATTCTTCTATTCTTTACTTGATTTTTATTTCTCAAGCGATATAAATGTATTTTGTTTACACATTTTATGCGAAATTCTAATTGTGTCTTAAATATTGTAATACAGAGTAGCTCAAAGTATTTCGATTATATATTTTAATAGATATAATATGGATTAGATCAGTTACGATTGTGGTACATAATTTAAAAGTATCCGAATGCCGAAAAAAGTATCCGGTATCCGGATACTTACAAATTTGGTCACGGATACGGATACCGGATACAAAATTTGAAAAGTATCCGGATACAGCTTTCGGATACACCTAAAGTATCCGGATACTACCCAACTCTGAGCGGTTATTATGACAGTAGCTTTCGAAAATTTTCCAAAACATTGTAGGTGTATGTATAGTATCCAGGGTAGGTCACGGAAAACTTTCCACTTACGTTTTTTTCGTATTGATGCAGAAAATCATAAAAACGTTCGTATATGTCAATAAATTTGAAGGACTTTTTTGTAATTGTAGCATCGAGCGGTGGGGTAAATAACCCAGCACTTATTGAATCAAAAAGTTTATGTAGATGAACGAAATTAATTTTGGCGTGAGGCTGTCATTTTTCATAATCCATTAAAATTTGCCCACCATCTAAAAACATATGTGGATAGATCTGCAATTTTGGTGAACACAAATGTAATAAGTGATCTAAAACCCATCAGAGGATTAATAACGAGTTTGGTGGAACGGTAGAGTCATCGGTGTATAAAAAATAGACTTTTAAAGTAAACTAGAACAAATTCAAAGAACAGCATGTCTCAACATAACAGGAGCCACGAAAACAACACCGACTAGAGCGATGGAAGTCATTCTTAGTCTCACTTCCTTTGATATTTACATCTGGTGAGGCGTGACGTCACTTTTGGCAGGAGGCGCTCGATACGCTCCCACTGCTTCAAGCAAACATGGACTCCATCTCAGCGAGATATATCTTTCATAAGCCATATAAAGTTATAACAGAACAAATAGAAGAGCCAGAAGTGGCAGGTACGATTCATATCTACACCGACGGTTCTAAAACAAAACAAGGCGCAGGATGCGGAATATACTCCAGATTCTTAAACCTAAACATAAAATGGGCTGTAAGCAATAGTGCCAGTGTAGTTCAAACAGAGCTAACGGGAATTCTCATAGCAGCAAAAGAAATAACCAGAAATAATATCACTGGAAGAAACATGCTCATCTATACAGATAGCAGACAAGCACTACTCACCCTGAACAGACCACGAATTTATTCAGGGTTAGTACTAGAATGTCATGAAGCATTGGCCGAAGTATCCTTCAACAATGTGGTCACCTTAAGATGGATCAAAGGTCACGCCACATCTTGCCACGTCTTGCCGATTCACTAACCAAGAAAGCAGCCAACCAAATACTTTTTGGACCTGGCCCTTCTATTGGCCTGACAAAATCGATAGAGACAGACCTAATTAAAGAACATTCCCTTGTGAAATTCAAGGAAAGATGGGATGAAACAAGAAACTGCAGAGTTGCCAGGGAGCTCTTAAGTTATCCTGACAACACTGCAGCAAACAAATACTTGACTATGACTAGACAGAATCTGCGTCTGGTCACAGGCATTCTGACTGGTCATTGCCACGTACGGAAGCACCTTCATATCATGGGGCTGTCAGAATCTGCACTCTACAGAGGGTGCGAATAAGAAGATGAGACTATCGAGCATATCCTTTACGATTACCCGACGCTCTCATTAATTAGAAGATTTGTGTTCGGCGAGTATCGGCTAACACCGGCCGATATAAGAGAAGCACCTCTTGGCGAGATTGTCAACTACATTAAATCTGTAGGTTGGCTGACGAGCTAGGAGGTGCCTATCATCTTAGGAGGATGCATAAGGGGCCTAATGAGGCCTAAGTGCCGTGGGGGTAACCCACCCTCCACACGTTACAGATACAGATAAATAAGAGTTGTGTTTTAAACCAGCGTATTTTAATTTCCGTTTACTTTTTATGGGGAAAAGGAAAACATTCATAAGGAAAATTCCCGCAATAATTTAAGTATGGATCATCCTTTATATACAATATACAGGGTGAGATTAACAACTCAGAGTGATGTATAAGAGAAACAACCTCATTTATTTTAATTTTACCAATCACTCTAACAATTCACAGTGTAATTGAAGAACCGCAACATCGTCCAACTCAATTATTTTTTCTGAGTTGACATTAAAGGATGATAGAGCAATAATTTAAACAAATAATATTAGATATTTTACAGAATAAAAGCATATCATCCACAAATACAAAAAATATTAAAGTGCAGGGCTAGGTTCTTGTAGTACTCCTATCGAAATGACAATATCTCTTGATCTGGTCCACTCATTAGTAAAAAACAGGATAAGGATAACAGGACCTAAGATCGAATTCTGTGGCATACCGATATTGTTCAGTTTGTTTTTTTTTTAGAAAAATATCTAGGTAATAAATTAGATGGAAGGTTCAAAAGGTACAAAAATATAGCTAGATATAATATTTAAGAAAAGGTACTGATAAATTTTTAATTTAAAATCAATATTCTTCCTGTCCTCTTTATTCTTCCTGTTCCAATTCCTGCTTTTTCATGCCTCCTGTTTTACTGTCTCTTGCTCTATTTCCTTTTTTTATAACTCATATTCTATCTCTGCTATTCTATATTTCCTATTCTCTTGTCTGTGCCCTATTTGATTCCCACTTGATCATCGTGCTGTTTACTGCGACATTGGCTTAAACGTTAGTTATAAGATTCCCATATTAAAAACCTATAAATGTTATAAATATTTCTCAATCAATGCTTTCAACGCAGACCTAGTGAGTGCGCCGTGGCTAAATATTATTTATGAAAATAACATTGAAAAGAAAATACAGATTTTTAACAACCTAATCACAATATTATTTGACAACCATGCTCCTTATGTAGAAGCCAAAATTACTAAACCGTATGCTCCTTGGTTGACACCTACAATTCGCGAGATGATGAAAACACGAGATAAAGCACTTTTAAAATGTAAAAGATCCCAAAATATATCAGACTTCATTCATTTCAAAGAAATGGGGAATATCGTTACTAGTGCAATTAGGAAAGAAAAATCAGCTTATTTCAATTATCGTGCAAGCTGGCAAAACAAAAAAGACCTTTGGAAAGCAATGAAATCCTTGAATATTTCAAATTCTACATTCCATATTCCTGATGGCTTAAGTGTCCCTACTGATATAAACAAGTATTTTACGTCGGTATTCATTTAGAAAAATTGTTGTCCTAACACTACATCTTATTATAATTCAAATCTATTTAATCTTGGTATTAGCTTCTTTTCTAAACTTGCAACAGTAAATGAAATTAGGTCAGTAGTTTTGGAATTAAAATCAAACGCATTAGGAATTGATAACATCTCAGCAAAAATGTTACAATTTTCTATTTCAGTCTGTGCTCCTTACATAACGCACATTGTAAATTGCTGTTTAGAAGTTGGTTACTTTCCTGACAGCTGGAAGTACTCTTTAATCAAGCCTTTGCCAAAATCAAATAAGCCTGAAACATTTAGCGACTTCGGCCCATAAGTATTTTACCAACGTTGTCCAAAATTATAGAAAAAGTAATTAGTAAACAAATATATACATACGTGTTTTCTCATAATATTGTAACCACTAAACAATCAGGTTTTCGAAAGGGGTTCAGTACTAAAACATTTCTCTTAGATTTAAAAGATAACATTATAAGATCAAAGGATGAAGGAAAAGCTAGAACAGTTACTCTGCTTGACATTTCTTAAGCGTTTGAAACTATAGATCATCAGCTTCTTTGTGCCAAACTCAAATATTTTGGTTTCAATGAGATTTCATTAAGATTTTTCAAATTTTATTTAAGTAACCGCTACCAAAAAGTATTGTTAGAGAAATCATCTAACTTCATGTGTGTAACATCAGGAGTACCCCAAGGCTCTGTCTCTGGTCCCCTTTTGTCTTCCATATATATTTCAGACCTTTATAAATATACACCCTTTTGCTGATGACACGCAACTACATTATTCCTTTGACCCATGTGAAGTAGATATAGCCTCGCAAAACATGAATTCAGAGCTAAATGCAGTAGACTTCGCCTCATGATGTTTATGTGCATTGTATATTACAAGCAAATAAAGTCATTATATTATTATTAATAATTATTGTCCTTTTTTAAATTACTAAATAATCGCCTTTTTATATAATGAAAAAAAAAACAGTCTTAAAGAAGACCTAGATATTTAGCAAACTTACCCCAATGTGGGAAACAAAAACACGCCATCTTCCTGTGGAGATTTGCAAGTACTGGGCAAAATATAAAATCCATTTTTACGAAGATCTGGCATCGTAAACGACTACTTGACTACTAACTGATTTTAAATAAAATTTATAAATATTTTCCTTAGGATTAAATTATGACAGGCTTGCTAATTTTGTAAATATTTGTATGCTTACATACGTGACGTATCCGATTGTTAATATCCAGAAAAATTTGTCAAGCTTTTTTTAACTCTGTTTAGGAGGACATGCTAATTAATTTAAAAATCAACAGATATTAATATTTTTTTATTACATACATGTTTATTGTTACTTTGAGGTCGAAATGATTTAAATTATATTTATTTGCGAAATTGATGTATGTTCAGTTAACAAAGAATGGGCGAACATTACAATCAAAAGTCAAAATAATCAAAATTTCGTTTCTTATACGCGGTGGGTGGATGACAGTTTCAAATTTTTTAAAAAAATCCTCCAGAGGTCATTTATTTATGGTGTACCAAATCAAATCAAATAACTACACATAACTTTTAGAAGTTTGAAGTTATAAACATATTTTACATGAATTTATTTTTTGCAAAACTCTCAAAAATTTTAAATTACATTAAAATAAAATAGAAAACAAAATAGTTTTAATTTTATCAATAAGTAAAACAAATTACTCTACCAATTCATGAGCACAAAGCTAATGTTTAATTCCACAAAATAACTAACGAATGCTTAAAAACTGAAAACAAAATATTTCAGCCATAACATACTTGTTATCTTGTTAATAAAACTGAATAGAACAATAACTTCGTGTTTTTCCCAGGATTTTCATAACAGTTTTACCATTTAATTTTACATAATATACGGCGTCTGCAATAAAATTGGGTAAATATAGAAAACATTTTTATTTGTCACTTGTCATGAAATGTCTAAATAAATAAAATAATCTACTTAAAATATACGCGTATGGTCTGTTTAAAACGCGCTCAATATACAGCTCCATATACAGGGTAACAACAAAAGTATACAATATCTAATTAATTCACCTAATGGAAATTATAATAAATAAACATCGCTGCTACATAGTTTCTATCAAAGTTCACTGAAGAATAAAAATACTAAAATAATCAGAAATAATTAGAGTGCCAACCACACCAAAGCCACGAAAATCTTACAAAATCCTGTCTCTTTGGTCAGGGCCAACAAATTAGTTGTTCCAATCTTTTATAATAGGAATTATACGATATTGTTTGAAGTATAAATATTTGATAAATTTACGAGAGAAAAAAGTAAATTTTAAATTGAGTATGCGTCTGTGAAGTCGCAAGTCGTGCATTTCAGAAATCCTAACAATATGTAAGCTTTTTTGGTAGTTTTATGAATATGCTCATCAAATTTGAAATTATTTTATTATACCATAGTTTCCCCTAACATTGGTCCAGTTTTTCAGGGTTTTCTGTACAAAGCGTTATTGGTATTTGTGTTTTTTTTTTTAATTGTATCTTTTAGATAGAAGCACTCGATAACTTTTTAAAACAAATTTAGTAAAAAGTACTCTTACGTACGAAAAAAAAAATTTATTTGGTTCATTGTTGGCCTGCAAGTTGCCCAACTTTGTTCCAACACGAATTTACGGTTAAAATATTACATAGGACTAAAATTAGGATACTGGAACACAACTATAGTTCAAAAAAGCATTGAGAAAACCAAGAAAAGTCATTATTAATATTTATTTAAATAATTATTAAAATATTTAATATATTTTTAAAGTTAGGACACCAAAACTATAGATACAATTCAAAATGCAAATAAGGCAATCAAACAATATTTGAAACATATGGAATAAAAGTCTACATACTTAAAACAAAATTTACAAAATGTTTTATTTTTAAAATAAAAAAAGCTAGAAGCACCCCCTTATAATTTTCGGACAAAGATATCTCCAAAAGTAATTTTTTTTTTAAATTTAAATTTTGGCAAAATAAATAAGGCAATATCTAGAATATGCATACTTTTTAAAGTTTTAATTCCTTCCAGTTTCCAAGAAAAAAAATCAAAGGGCTTTAAATTTTTAAATATCATGATGAAATTAAATGAATTCCTCAACAACACTATAATCCATGAATTTCAACTAATAATGTCTTTTTAATGATTTTTTAAAATTCGCCAAAATGAGTGGCTAAAACGCCTCATTAAGTGCTATCTTGTGGTTTAAACTGGTACAAACTAGTGTAAACTGGTGTAAACTGGTGTAAACTGGTGTAAACTGGTGTAAACTGGTGTAAACTGGTGTAAACTGGTGTAAACTGGTGTAAACTGATGTAAACTGATGTAAACTGGTGTAAACTGGTGTAAACTGGTGTAAACTGGTGTAAACTGGTGTAAACTGGTGTAAACTGGTGTAAACTGGTGTAAACTGGTGTAAACTGGTGTAAACTGGTGTAAACTGGTGTAAACTGGTGTAAACTGGTGTAAACTGGTGTAAACTGGTGTAAACTGGTGTAAACTGGTGTAAACTTGTGTAAACTGGTGTAAACTGGTGTAAACTGGTGTAAACTGGTGTAAACTGGTGTAAACTGGTGTAAACTGGTGTAAACTAGTGTAAATCATTTCAGGAAACGAATTATGACTGAGAGTGTACGATACAGTAGTTACAGTCCCGTTACAACAGAAGGCAACACTTAACGAGGCGTTTTAGCCACTAATTTTGGCGAATTTTAAAAAATCATTTACAAAACATTAAGAGCTCAAATTTCGGGATTATATTAAGAATAGTGCTATTGAGGAATGCATTTATTTTCATTGTGATATCTCAAAATTTAAAGCCCTTTGATTTTTTTTCTCGGAAACGAAAAAATTAAAATTTTAAAAAATATGCGTGTTCTAATTATTATTGCCTAATTTATTTTGCCAAAATTTAAATTTTCTATAAAAATTACTTTTTGAGATATCCTAGTCCGAAAATTATAAGGGGGTGCTGTAATCACCTTAAGTCGGTATGTTTTGACAACCATGAAACTATTTTAAATTTTTAATTGTTTACTAACTCTGGAACTGAATGTATAGTTATCTATTCTTAGAAATGAGTTATGGACTAAGTATATTTGTCAAAATATCTTTTATTCCAGGATATTTTTTTTCCTGCCACTTCCACAAGTTATCATTTTTTATCATGCAGCTTACGACAACGTCTGGAAAATATTCTTGTTCAAAAATAATAACAAAATCACCCTCAGTTATAGCACTGGGTTCTTTAATTTCTGAGGTGGGCTGACCGTTTATCAGGTCACTAAAACTTTCTGATAGTGTATCGGACTCTAAAGAAATATCTCCAATACTATCCTCCTCCTAATCACTTTGAAGTTTCTGTAGCTGTTTATTTTTTAAAGTTTGTATTTCAGAGGTACTGGGCACATTAAAATGTACTTCCATCTCTGATGTACTGGGATAATTTATGTCCTCTAGGGCTATACTTTTTCCTGGTTCTACGTTAACTTTTTTTCTTCCGGATAATTCTAGGAATCGTTTCTGACTTTCTGATGTTGTATCAAGCCTGTCGCTACTTGGATTTTTAGCTAGGACCTGGTCTCTAGTGAAAGGATAATTAATTGCTTTTCTAAAGCATTTTCACCAGTTTTTGCCTTCTTCCAACAGATGAACTCTTCCATTAATCAAGCACTTTTCACCAATGTATCTTAAATGATCGGAAAAAAGAAATGTCCAACATTGTGTCAAATGCGTAGCATTAGGAGGCAAAGCTACAAATGAAATATTGTTCTCCTGCCATAATTTTAACACCTTACGACTTATGTGAGAATTTAAAACAGTTTTTTCAAAGCCATTGCGTTTTACAATGGGAAGCAATATTGTATAGTACAATAATTCTGATTATTAAAAAAACACAATAAATGATTCAAGACAAAATTGTGAATGACATTCACAATTAATATTCTAACAAAAATATTCTAGAATAAAATAAATGAACATCTAAATCTAAACTGTTAATACCCAGACTACTTAGTTTTTTAAATATTGCGGGTAACGCCAGAAATAGTAACAAGTATATAAATCTTGTTATCCAGAAAATAAATGTCAAATAATAAAATTTTCAAGTTTTAGGTTAAATAAAAGACTCATTTTTTTGTTTTAAAAAAGTAATTAATTAAAATATATAATTGATTTATACTTTTTTTTCATATTTCCAAACCTAAGATGAGTTAAAATCATACTTTATATCATTTAAATCAAAAAACAAAGTGAAATTGGTCAAACAGTGTGTCCCTAAAGACGAACGTAACCATATTTAGTTATTGAATTGTACTGATTTTTGGACGTATGAAATAAAGACAAAAGTTGAAAAGAAGGTAAATGAAACAAAATAGAAAGTAGAGATAAGCAGATACAGTAAAGAATAGCACACAAGTAGAGATGAGCATACAGGTAGAGACAGGCAAATATATAGAAACGGCAGAGACAGGCAAAGACGATAGAGATAGTCATAGGTGGGCAAGAAGAAGGAAGAAAATAATTTTTTTTTCTAATTTTAAACAATATTTTAGATCTTTTGAACCCACCCCGAAATTCAGATTATATTATTGGTTGGAAATCAGAGGCAACTAAAGGTACCATTTCGAAACGCGCGACAGACGACAGATGACAACAGACGCGACGGCAAAGGAGACAGATGCATTTACAATACGCTTCACACATTTGGGAAGCAAGGAGACAGGCGACACGACAACCGCAGACAGCCATTCGAGAAAACGATTAGTGTTGCCAGACCTACTGTCTTTAAGTAAATCCACTGTTTTTGTCTCTGTTCTCCTGTTTTAGGCATGAAATCTACTGTTTTCGGCAACTTAGCAAATTTTGTTCTTAAATTATTTGGTTTGCCTCATTCTTCAGCAAATGTACGAAGAATATTTTCTCTAGAAAATTTGCTGAAGTAAAAGCATCGTAATAAGCAGCCACTATTGTAGGGTTGCTCCATAAAAAAACCTCAAGATAATCATTATGTTTTTATTTAAAATGCAACAAAGAATCAATAGGGCATCATAAGAAGAACATGCATGCCAAACACAACGTATTTGAATTAT